TGTGGCAGCGAAAACATAGAAAATTTACCACTGTGACCTTGCCGAAGCGGTTGTGGGGGGCAGGGGACACCCACACTGGGGACCAGATCCCAGGGCCTCCCTCCCACCCGCCCTGTGAGCTCCCTGCTGCCTGCAGCCCCGGGCCCTGGTTCCTGTAGCTCCCTCAGGTGTTTGCACTGAGGCAATCTTTTTGTCTTTTGTGACTCAGTTATTTTACTCAGCATAATTTCCTCAAAATTCAACCATGTGCTGGCATGTGACAGGAATTCCTTTCTGGGAATGAATAATGCTCCCTGTCTGTGGGCAGGCCACACCCCCACTATCTGCTGGCCCCTCTCTGGACACTTGGGCTGTTCACACGTCTTGGCTGTGTGGACACAGGTGTGTCACCAGAGTGTCAGCGACAACTCAGGTGGCTGTCAAGGCGGAACCGGCTCAAGCCAGAGATAAAATCATTTGTTTTCCCCTTGCTACCTTTTATTTGTTTGCTAGGTTGGATTTTTTTGGCTTTTTGAGACAGGGTCTGGCTATGTCATTCAGGCTGGCCTTGAACTCACAGCAATCCTCCTGCCTCAGCCTCCTGACCAACATGCACCACCACACTCGGCCTTTGCTACTTTCGTTTTCCCTTTCTTCCCTCTGTCTCCCCCGAGTCGGGGAGCCCTGCTCTGCCCTCCTGGGCACGGGGCAGTGAGAAGCCTGTGGCAGGTGCTGGGCGTCCTCCCCCAGCTGTGGGCCATGTCCCAGTGGGCCCAGGAGAGGGATGATTCCTGGACGTCCCCCATCTGCGTGCTGGCCCAACACCCAAGGCCGGGAAGAGCCCTGAGGGGCAGCCCTCGGCCTGTCCTGGAAGTCACAGTTTACTCTGGAAAGAGCCCAAGTTGGGCGGGGCCCCTGGCTCTGGCTAGGGGAAGATGGGATTTATTCATTCATTATGTCGGGGGAGTTGGCAGAAGCCCGGCTGGGGGAGGGAGGGGGGTCAGTTGCTGGGTCTGCTCCAGGGGGAGACCCCGCCCCAGCCCCCAGCGGTTTCCAGCAGGTGGAGCCCTGCCCAGAGCAGGGAGCAGGGCCCAGGGCCCAGGGCCCAGGGCCTCCCTCTGCCTCCCAGTGGGGTTCGGGGCGCTTCCGTAAGCCAAGCTGAGGAGGAGGCGGCCGGCCGTGTCCCACAGGGTGGTGATCATGAACTCCATCCTGGAGCACATGTGTGCTGATGTGCTGCAGCAGACCGCCACGCAGATCAAGTTCCCGTCCACCGGCGTGGACACCATGCCCTACTGGAACCTGCTGCCTCCCAAGCGCCCCATCAAGGAGGTGCTGACGGGCGTGTTCGCCGAGGTGCTGGAGAAGGGCTGGGTGGACAGCCGCTCCGTGCACATCCTCGACACCCTGCTGCACATGGGCGGTGTCTACTGGTTCTGCAGCAACCTACTGAAGGTGGGGCGGCGGGACAGGGTGCACCTGGGTCCCCTCATCCCCGCCGGCCCGCACGCCGCAGCACCCCATCCCACCCGCCAGGAGCTGTTGAAGGAGACCCGCAAGGAGCACACGCTGCGGGCGGTGGAGCTGCTCTACTCCATCTTCTGCTTGGACATGCAGCAGGTGACACTGGTGCTGCTCGGCCACATCCTGCCCGGCCTGCTCACCGACTCCTCCAAGTGGCATAGCCTCATGGACCCGCCTGGCACTGCGCTGGCCAAGTAGGGGTCTCTCACCACCCCTGCCCCACCCCCCCCGGTCATCCAGCAAGCTGGGCCCGGAGCCCCTAACTGGGCCCTGTTTCCTGCGCCCTCTGCCAGGCTGGCCGTGTGGTGTGCCCTGAGTGCCTACTCTTCCCACAAGGGACAGGCGTCCTCCCGCCAGAAGAAGCGACACCGGGAAGACATTGAGGTGGGGCCTCCACTTGCCAGGCCCGAGGTGTGGGAGGGCCGAGGGGAACCAGGCCCCATGATGGCAGCTGCAGGGCACGGGGGAGTGGGGCTTCCGCTCTCAAACCTGAGCTCCAGCCGGCCTGTGTGGGGCACTCCTGTAATCCCAGCTACTTGGGAGGCCAAGGCAGGAGGATCACAAGTTCAAGACCAGCCTGGGCAGCTTAGCAAGTCAAATTATAAAAAGTAGAAAGGGCTGGGGGTGTGGCCAGTGGCAGAGCGCTTGCCCAGCATGCACGAGGACCTGGGTTCAAATCCCAGCTCCACACACGAAACCCCACCCGAGCCCCGTTCCCCTGCGCGGTCCCCGGATCGTCAGCCGGCCTGTGGGTGCCAGCAACTCTTCCCCACCAGGATTACACCAGCCTCTTCCCCCTGGACGACACGCAGCCATCAAAGCTCATGCGGCTGCTGAGCTCCAACGAGGATGACGCCAACATCCTGTCGAGTCCCAGTAAGTGTGTGGCTCCTGGCGCCCGCCTCCCTGGGACCCTGCGCCCTGCCAGGCCCATCCGCCTGGCCACGGTGCCTTTGCCAGCTGCGCCGAGGACTGGAGACAGGGCTGCAGTCGCCTGGCCTAAGAGTTGAGGCTCTTGGCCCTGAGTCCCCCACCCCACGGGGCAGCAGGGACGAGGTGACTCTGCCTCCCCAGCATGGCCTGTGCCCTGACTCACCAGCCCAGCCTCCCTGCTTCCTTCCTTCCTTCCCCGAGTCGGGGTCTGTCCCCAGCAGGCCTGGCTCCCGTGCCCCACTTCCTCCTGAGCCCCTTCGATGAGCTTTCCCGAGCCCGCAGGTTCCTCCGGGACGGCCACACCCTGGAGCTGGCCATGCTGGGCCAGTGGCCTCGGCCGTCCGCCTGCGGCTCCTTGGGACCTGTTGGCCCTCCCTCCTGTGACTGGCCCCGGGGATCCCCGCTGGGCTCTGTGTGTACCCCAGCTGTGGGGCAAGGCGAGGCCCCCAGAGTGGGTTGGAGCTGTGTCCCCTCCCGCCCACAGCTGACCGCTCCATGAGCAGCTCCCTGTCAGCCTCCCAGCTGCACACCGTCAACATGAGGGACCCTCTGAACCGCGTCCTGGGTGAGTCCCGTCCTGGAGCTGGGCTGGGGCCTGGGCAGCCAGAGGGGTCCTGCCAGCACCCCATCCCTCCGCGGCATCTCCTCACCTCATCTCCACCTCCCCTTGCTGCCAGCTTTCCGGGCTCCATTTGCGGCCACTGCTTTCTCTGCCCGTCCTTTGCTTATTGAGACAGGGTCTTGCCGTGCCACCCAGGCGGGCCCTGAACTCATGGCAGTCCTCCTGCCTCAGCCTCCCGAGAGCTGGGAGTCCAGGCGTGCACCACCGCGCCTGCCTTCTTTTGCCTGGAGCCCCGCCTGGCCCCACCTGGCCCCGCCTGAGCCCCTGTTGCCTCCCCGCAGCCAACTTGTTCCTGCTCATCTCCTCCATCCTGGGCTCCCGCACGGCCGGCCCGCACACGCAGTTCGTGCAGTGGTTCCTGGAGGAGTGCGTGGACTGCCTGGAGCAGGGCAGCCGCGGCAGCATCCTGCAGTTCATGCCCTTCACCACCGTGAGTGCAGAGCCCAGCTGGGGCACCCGGGGCCAGGGCTGGGGCCGGGGCCATCTCTGCCACCCGTGCTGTGTGTGGCAGGTGTCGGAGCTGGTGAAGGTGTCCAGTATGTCCAGCCCTAAGGTGGTCCTGGCCATCACGGACCTCAGCCTGCCCCTGGGCCGCCAGGTGGCTGCCAAGGCCATCGCTGCCCTCTGAAGGCCGCAGATCCGAGCGAGACAGTGAGGATGAGGAGCCATCGGTGCCGGCAACTTCCTCTCCCTCCGCCAGCACCTGAAGAGCTTGGGCCAAGGTTGTCCTCGGCCAGGAAGGGGACCTGCCCTGGGGGCCTCGGACGCAGCAGGCGCTCAGTGTGGACACAGGCTCAGCGCGGCCTTGAGCCTGGGGCTGTCTGTCACCTTGCCACTTGTGAATAAAGACCTTCGGGCGCCTTTGTGACAGGAAGTGCTTGGGTGCCTGGCTCCAGTCTCCCTGGGTTCCCGGGGCAGGGCCTGGGTGAGGAGGAAGAGGGGCTGGGCTCAGGTGCCCACGGTTCCCTGCAGGGCAGAGGGGGGACAGTGGCTCCCTCCCACAGACCTGGCTTGGGGGCATTGAGGGCCACGCCCACTGCTGGCCCCCAGGTACGAGGACGGGTGCCCTGCTCTGTCACCCCGCCCAGTCTGGCTGGGGTGACTTGTTTTTTTTGGTACCAGGGATCAAACTCAGGACCTTGCGCTTGTGAGGCAGGTTCAGGCACCACTGAGCTAAATCCCTGGCCCTGTTTTGTTGTTGTTGCTGTTTTTGTTTGCTTTTTGCTTTTTGATATATATATATATATATATATATATTTTTTTTTTTTGCTACTGGGGATCGAACTCTGGTCCTTGCAGTTGCACAGCAGCCGGCGAAACCACTGAGATAAATCCCCGGCCCCTTTTGTTTCCTTTTTGAGACAAGGTCTCATTGTATAGTCCAGTCTGGCCTTGAACTCACTATGTAGCCCAGGCTGGCCTCAAAGTCACAGCAATCCTCCTGCCTCAGCCTCCTGAATGCTGGGATCACAGGTGTAACCACCACAGCTGGCTCTGGGGTGACTGCTGAACCCTTCTGTCCCCGCCACACCCATGGCCTGAGACAGCAGTGGGGTTCCTTGTGCTCCTGGGGGTCAGGGGTGGGGCTGGGGGTGCACCTGGCACCTGAGGTGTGGCTCTGGCCCCTCCGACAGCTACACCCTCCCCCTCTGTAGCTGCTTGGGGCTTCGACCCCTTCAGCGCCGAGGACAGTGGGGACAGGCAGGACAGACCTGGGTGTGAGTGGCCTGTGCCATGCAGGGCCCAGCAGCGCATGCTGGCCCTCTGTGGGCACGGAGCCAGCACCCTCTGCCCCGGCTGTGGGTCCCCGGGTGGCCTCTCCCTCGGTGTGCCCAGCACCGTGCTCCGAGGAAGGGCCAGGAAGGAATGCAGGGAGCCAGGACCTCCCACCCCTCCCCAGCCTCCTCAGCTCCCCTGGCCCGAGACGCAAGGAGCAGGGACACTCAGGAGCCACCAACTTTATTATCCACACACTTGTTACAGCGAGAAGGGGCGGGCTCCCTTTCACCCCTTCCCTGACTCCCCCTTTCATTCCCTTCCGTGGGGGGCTCCAGAGAGAACCCCGCCTTGGTGGAGGCCAGGGGGGCACCCCCTGGTGCTGGAGTCAAAACCCACCCAAAAACTAGAGAAAAACTTAAATTCCAGGGCTCGAGACCTGTGTGGTGGAGTGGGGACAGGTGGCGGACAGGGACCCAGCCATGAGCTGGGAACAGTGCTGTTTAAATATTAAACAGGGATGTGGCCTCCCACGTGGGCGGCCTCCCGAAGTGCCTGGGCCACCGCTGGGCAGCACTGGGGTGGGGGCCGAACTCGGTCCCCAGTGCCCAGGACGGAGCAGGCCAGTGCCGGCTCGGGAATAAATACCTGGTATTTACCTATCTGCCTCCCGCTCGGGGCAGGAGGGCAGAGTTCCTCACTGCTGTGGGCAGGAGAATGGAGCTCGAGATGGGGAGGAAGCACCCAGGAGTTGGGCTGGGCTCTGTCTCCCCTGAGCTTAAATACGAGGGTTAAATAGGCATAAATATTAAATAGAGATAAATACACTGGCGGGAGCCAGCTCAGGGCCCCCTGAGGTAGCGCAGGGCACGGTAGGCCAGCTCCAGGAAGCACTGCAGCTGCGAGGCCACCATCGCCCCGACTGCCTGGCGCTGGAAGGCAGAGGTGAAGGTCAGCATGGTGCCCGGGGTGGGCTGCACGGCCGGGGCTGTTCCCAGGTCCTCCATCTGTGGGGGAAAGACGAGGTCAGGGGCGACTCTCCTCGGGGCCAGCGGCAGGAGGGCCTGGTGGGGTGGGGAGGTCAGATGTCCCTGATGACCCCAGCACGCTTCCCCGATGCCAGGCTGTGCAGTGGGCATCCAGCATGGCCACTGGGCTCGTCCCCCGAGGCTCACCTGCTGCCAGATGGTGGTGGCAAAGTCAGCAACATCCAGCTGCAGCGTGTCCACAGTGGGGGACAGTTCTGGGGAGATCCCCACCAGTGCCCGCAGGAGGCCCCGGTAGAGGACCAGGCCGGCCTGGAGCTGGCGCAGGCAGCGGGTCTGGGGGGACAGAAGAGTGAGGCAGTGCTGCCCAGGCCGGGCACTGGGGTGCAGCCCCCCTCAGCCCACGCCCTCCGGCTCACCGGCTGCAGGTCCTGGCTGGAGCAGCCCTTCAGGGGGACCCATGGGATGCTCAGGGAGTGGCCCAGCAGTGTCAGCTCCTCGGGGTGGCACAGCCTGTACGTGGCACACTGGGGGTGGAAGGATGTGGAGCGTCACTCCCTGGGACTGAGTCCTCCCGGTCTCCATCGCCCAGTGGCCCTGACACCCAACACGGGGTCCCTGCCCAGCTCCCCTCCATGCCTGTGGGTCCTGTGTCACCCTCTGCGCCCCTTCCCGGGCACCTCCTCCCCACCTTCCTCCCTCAGGCTCCCCCAGGTCCCCACACTCACTAGCTTCTGCTGCATCTCCACGGCTTCGGCCTGGACCCTCCGTGCCTGCTCCAAGCACTTGAGCACGAAGCTTCGGGGCAGGGGCAGGGGGCTGGCAGTGTCCAGGGGCGCGGCCTTGTGTCCGGGCCAGAGCGCACTGTGCAAGAGCAGCAGTAGGGCTGGAAGCAGATGGAAGACACTGCCACTCCCACAGTCCCTCCCAGTGGAGGAAGCAGAGTGGCTGAAACCTGGCCGGGCTGAGGTCCCCAGCGCCCCCAGCTCAGACCCCAAAGGCGGCCACACTCACCCATCAGCTTCACAGGCCGCGGGGCAGCAGCGTGGGCCATGGGGGTGCAGGGAGGGCTGGGACTGCTGGCTGTGGCTGTCAGACCCACTTGGAGGACCTTTATACAGAACCCATGGAGCCCTGGGAGGAAATTACCTGGGGCTACGACAAAGACTTAGTAATAACTTCCCAGGAGTTATGCAAATTTGTTGGTGTCCAGGACAATGCAAGGGCGTTGGGACACAAAGCTGTTTGCGAAAGTTTTGTGAAACTGTGGAATCTCTGATCCTTCTTTGACGTCTGGTCCCCCTCAAATTCTCTTCCTCCACTAGGCCACGCCCAGGGCTGAGCCCCCCCCCCCCCGGGGGTTGACCAGAAACTGACAAAGGCCCAAAGGCCCGAAGTCCGGGAGGCCGAAGGGGAGGGGGAGGCTGGAGGCTGTCCCAGGGTCCTCCATGGGGACCGACGCCCCTCCGAGCTCGGGCGGGAACCCTGCGGAGCCCCTGTGCCCCTCCCCGGGAGTCCCAAGCCTCCTGCCCCCAAGGTCTAATTCTAGGGCCGAGGAAGCAGCTCGTTGCCTCCTCCCGCTGACCCAGAAACTCCCAGGGCCCTCTTGGCCTCTTGTGGGCCGGCCCTGAGACAGGACCCTGAGTTTTCCTTCCCGCACTTGGAGAGGCACCGTGGGTCCTTCCAGGTCGTCCTGTCCCAAGCTGATTATCTGGGAACTCCCCAACAAGCCCCCATGACTCACCCCCTTAAGCCCCCGGAATCCAGGCAGAGGCCAGAGGAAACCGGATGTCAGTCCTGAATGAATCAAGACCCTCTTGGGGCCCTTGGCTCACCTGACCCTGCCCTTCCACCTCCTCGCACAATTGCCCTGGCACATGAGGCTGGCACAGTTGCTCTGGTCCACTACAACACAGTCCCGGGGCTTTGGAATGGGGACCTGGGGCATGACACTCCCCCGGCCCAGGGTGGACCGGGCAGGGGTGAGGAAGGTGAGTCTGTGGGTCCCACGCGCTGGAACCCTGCAGCATTAGCACCGGAAGCAGCCTTGGTGCCCCTGCAGCCTGTGACCTGGGCCAGGAGGGTAGGACCCTACCCAAGGTCACAGAAGCAGACTTGGTGTCTCAACGAGGAGGGATCTGCCTCAGTTCTGAGCTCCGTGGGGCCTGGGGCCTGCCTGGCGGGGCTGTCCGCGCCCAAGCACAGAAGGTGCTCTGGATGCAAGGGGCAGAGCCCAGGCGGGCGTCTCTGAGGCTGGGGCGCCCTCTGGTGGCCATGCGTGGTGGAGCCGTCACCTGCCCCTCGTTCACGTTCTGCCACCTGGTCCGAGTTTGCAAATTGTTTTTACTATCACGTTAAAAACAAAACCAAAAACAAAAACAGCTCTGGATGTCCCTTGCGTCTGCCCCTCTGTACGGGGGATTATCACCCCCTGACCCCTGTGGGCACTGGACTGCCCATGCCCAAGGTCCCGGCGTAGATGACATGGCGTTCACGGGGGCTGACACCCGGTACCACACCTCGCCCGGGGCCATTCGAACACCGGGGGCTCAGTCATCACGCCATGCCGGGGTGATCACGAGGAGTGCACTAGTGTCCAGGACAGACACAACTGACTCCCTCCAGATCTTTCCGGGGTGAGTCCCCAGACGTGGAGCCAGGCCGGACAATGTGGACGCAGAGGCCAGACAGCACGCCCACGTGTTTTAAGCCTGTGCCGAGCCGGCTCGGTCACAACTTCTCAATTCTGCCTTTCTAGCACAAAAGCAGCTATGAAAAATACGTACACGAGCCAGGCACAGTGATGCACGTCTGTAATCCCAGCACTCTGGGAGACTGAGACAGGAGGATTCAAATTTGAGCCCATTGTGGGCAATTTAGTGACTTAGCAGGACCCTGTCGCAAAGTAAAAATGATGTAGCTCAGCACAAAGGCCCTGGGTTCAACCCCCAGTATCACACACAGGCATGTTCAGGCGCACACACCCACGAAGTAAATGAATTATACTTGGACATTGGGACTTAAATGTCAAATGTTTTTGCACGTTGTAAAATACTTTTTATTTTTTTCATTAACCATTTAAAAATAGATAAGCCATTCCTCACTCGGGGTATATATGCCTCACACCAAAAGGCTTGCTCGGCCAACCCGCTTGAAGGCTTAACTGAGAAGTAGAATTGTTTTGTTTTTGAGACAGGGTCTCCTTACATGGTTCAGGCTGGCCTTGAACTCACAGCGATCCTCCTGCCTCAGCCTGTCAAGTGCAAGGATTACAGGTGTGTGGAAGACTAGAATCCTCAGTCACAGGGCACGCACACGTCCACCTTGACAGACAACAAGTGGGCATGCGCAGGCGGAGAAGGTGAGGCCCTGCCGCCTCCCGGGAGAGCTCTGCCGGCGGAGCCACACACCCGCTCTGTGCGCACGGGTCGGGTCCGTAGGGCCCTGTGGTGCCACAGCCGCTGGGATTGTCGCAGGCGGGGCGTGCCCTTGGGGGGGGCAGCCCGGGCAGGGCCTGCTTCCCACCCGCGGGGCGGACGCCCGCCCTCTTCAGTCTGCACTTCAAAGCCGGGGGAAGCGCCCGGCTGTCTCAGAAAACCCAGTCCCCAGGCCCAGAGTGCAGCTGTCGCCCTGCGGCCATGGGGCAGAGCGGAGGAACCCAGGCGATGGCCGGGGCTTTGGAGAATTCTTTATTGTTTAAAAATCGTAACTGATGCTTCAAAAGACATTCCGCCCCATGGACGCCCGCTCCAGGCTCCCGCGCAGGGCCGCCCCTTCCCGCACCCGCCCGCAGCTCAGGCCGCTGCCCGGCACGCATCACCCGCGCTGTCCCTGAGAGCGGAGCAGAGGGGCCCCGGGCTCAGCGCGCACGCGCCCTGCAGTCTGAGCCGCCTGCGCAGGGCCGCCTCCGAGGCTGGCTCAGGGGAAGCTGTCGTCGTCGTCCTCCGCCATCTCTTTGGCGAATTCCAGGTCCTGCTGCTCGCGCTCCCTGCGTTCCTGGGGGGAGGCGGGGAGGTGTCCGGGACCGCGGTGACCCAGGTCCCTCGGTCTACATAGAGGGGAGCCCGGGGCTCACTCACCTCTGCGGACTCCAGGTCCTTGTTGTACGACTTGGGGGGAAACCGCATGGCCTGGGGACAGCGGGAGAGCAGGGGCTGGCACGGAGGCTGTGGCTGCCGGCTAGGGAGGCCCCGACCTTGCGGGATGGCCGCCCGGGGTCGGCCGCGAGCAGGACGCACCTTGACCGACATGTTGTGGATGTCCAGGCAGAAGGAGATGCGCTGGTGGAAGGCCAGCTGCGGCTCCCGCGTGGAGTAGATGTCGATCATCTCCTTGGACTGCACGTAGCCTTTCTCGTGGTTGATGCTGGCCTCGATCACGCCGTCCCGGATGGCCTGGGGGGGGCGCCGGGGGCGCGGTCACCGGCCCCTCCGCCCCATTCCATCCCCGCCCTCACTCAAGACCCGCCTTCGCCTTCGCCTTCGCCCCCCCCGCCCCCCCCACCGCGTCCCCGCACCGCCCAGCCCCAGCCCCACCTTGGCCACGATGAACTCGGCATCCTCAGGGCTGTCGAGCTGCAGCTTCTGCGCGATGTCGGCCAGCGAGATGCGCGAGTAGGAGAGACTGATCATGCGCACGCCTGCGGGAGGCGGAGACGAGATGGGCGGTGGGCGCCGGGCCTCCCCCCCCGCGGGCCGGAAGCGCGGGGGGCGGGCTCCACACCTGTTTTGATCACGTTGTGCCGCAGCCGGATGATCAGCGTGTAGGCCCCGTCCGCCTGGAACTTCTCCCCGAACTGATCAAGCACCTGGCTGAACTTGGCCAAGTTGCCGGTCCTGACGGCTGCGGGCGGGAGGGGAGGAGAGGAAGAGAGGAGGGGAGAGGAGAGGAGAGG